CCGATTTAAAAAAAAATCATTTTATTTTCACGATCACATTGAAGAATTAATAACATTTTAAAATAAAATCTTTAAAAAAAGCAACTGTTAGTGTTATAGATGTAGTTAATACATAACAGAGTCTTTTGCACTAATTCTTTAACCATTGTAGTGTTTGGTCTATATAGGGAGCGCATTGCCGTTTATACATTTAGTATACAACTTATGCACAATGTCAAATAATATAAGATTTTTTTTTATTTTTCAAATGTTTATTTTACATTTAGCTATAGTCAGATTATTTAAAAGATAAAAATCCATTGGGTAGCGAAAAATAAAGCAGTACTCTGTTTATTTAAATCAATGCACAGCTCTTAGTAACTTCCATCACAATATAAACAAAGTATAAACTAATTACTAAAGCTTATTAGATTTTACATTTCTTTAAAAATATTTTAAACGTAGAAAATAAAAAAAAAAATGCATATTGTTTATAAATCTAATTGCAGCCACTGATATTTATTTTTTTACATAATTTTTTTTTTGAATACATAAAAATTCAATGCTTCTTTGTACCACTTAAAGCATATGCTATTTTTGCTATCATAAAGTGTTAAAATATTTTATAAAGATAAGAATATATTAATCTAAAATTCAGATTATAATAAAAATAGCCACGCGTTGTTTTTTTTCTTGGAAATTGATATAATAATTTATAATAGGAAAAAAAATAAGGGAGATAATTTAAAAAACACAACCCGGAAGGGAGAGCATGATAGTGAAATATAAGGGAGGCAATAAAAGTGAAGGAAAAAAACGAAAGACAACTTACGGGAAAGCTGGAAGGTGTACGTCGAAACAGGCGAAAAGCGCGAATCGTTGGCGGTACGGGGAATCCTCGAGTCGGCTGAGAAGACGGTCTTCGTTGCACGTGCTTACAGGTAAATTTACCGTTTGGGCATGCTCACTGGCTCTAGTCATAGGGGTGTGTGGTGTAAACGTGATTTGGAAGCTGATACCATTTTTATTCCTCGTTTAATATTTTCAGGACGTACAATTTATAAAAGCATTATATTATATGCTGTTGTTTCGTGTCGTTCACTAGCCATTGTATTACAGCTAGTTACCAAAGTTTGAGGAAAACACACCTGTTCCACCCCTGTTTAGAAAATGGGCTGGCCCACGATAAGGCTGACTGTGTAGATTGGACGGCTCTGCCTATACAAGGGAAGACGTTTTGGAGTTCGCGCGGGGTTATTTTTAAGTGGAGATTCGCTGCAAGTGGGTCAAATAACAAATGTTGTGTGTTGGAGGGCTGAGCGCTAGGCACCAACACAGTGTGCGTAACATGCAGAGTAGAGATGTTTACAAACACACCATCTACATACGCTCATATATATATATATATATATATATATATATATATATATATATATATATATATATATATATATATATATATATATATATATATATATATATATATATATATATATATATATAGGCCAAATATATGATGCGGCTTCTTGCTAAACCTACAAACTCAAGTTTTTATTTAAAAAAATGAATTATCCTAATACTAATACTCCTTGTAGCCTTTTTAAATAGGTGGCAATTAAAGTAGTATACTAATTTTTGTTTTTGAAGATATACTTTAAAATAAGTGTTCTAAGTAAACTATAGAAAATCCTAAGTCGATTTCACCAAATCAATCAGAAGTCACGTAACGGCCCTTCTGTATATAGTATATGCATGCGCATACACAAAATAAGAATCAACATTGAATGCTGTTTATAATAACAGCCTGAAAACGTTTCATCGACATTTATAAGCAAATGCAACTTTCTTATACAAAATTTCCGTAATGTTTATTGAAACTTTTATAAATCATATAAAATATAAAACAACATTTATGAATATTTGGAAATTGAAAGCTCTATGAAGTTAACATGTAGGCCTATTTTGTAAAAAAAAAAAAATCCTTACCAATCCTAACCAAATCATAGCCCTAACCAAAACTTAATAAACCAAATTAATCTAAGCCACAATAGTCTAGTTGATAAAATTATTTAACTGATTCTCTACCTAGAAACCTGCGAACATAAAAAATAAGCAACAATTTTTAGAATACTTAGTGAGTGGGTGAGCGGAAAGATAATGTGCTGTTTTTAAATGGCTCTGTATTTTGCTAATGTTAAAAGACTGCAAGTGTTGTTGTTTTTCGTCTAATCCGGGTGTACGTGTAATCTTAAACATGCACATTGTGTTTCTTTCAGACACTTTTCTACGGGAGAGGGGACTTAAAACTTTCAAGGTGGGATAGGGGGAAGGAGGGCACTGGTAAAAGTATATAGTTTATATATAAATATATTTCGTTTGGCACGGGGATTTGGGGGGGGGGGAGTGGGGAGAGTGCCGTGCCTCACGAAGAGATGCCTGAAAGAAACTTCATATATATTCTCTTAGCACATTGGCAAGACAGTACGAGTAGGTGGATGCAGTGTTTCTTCCAGACTTTTTTTCTCCGGGGGGGGGGGCACTTGAAATCTTCGGGGGGCGGTAAACTTTCTTCGGGGGGGCGGACACTGTTAAAAGTATATATTTTCTATATAAATTATATAAATTTCATTTCGTTCGGGGGGGGGGGGGGCGGTAAAAAATTTTCGGGGGGGCTTAGCCCCCCCGAAGAGATGCCTGGAAGAAACTCTGGGTGGATGGGCAGCACGTTTATAGGGGGGGCTAACCAGGTCTGATCAGTAGCTTTTAATAGTTGAAGAAAGTCAGAGACGGACGTGTGCTAGTATTGCACCCACACAATCCCTTCACCCGCTGCGAAAAACAGTGGCGTAGCTAATGGGTGGCAGCCAGCCAGGGCGCATCTTACTCTACCAGAGCGCCTGTTTTTGAGATGCATTTCATTAGTATAATTATTCGAAGTTAATAGTATAGACAGACTATAGACGAACAAGGCTTTACAACTTGCGCTTCAAATATTTTCAAAATGCATTATTTTTAAGCAAAATAATTGACATAACAATGAGGCGTAATGGGATTATGACAAGAAAAACACTAGGCTTATATGACTATTTAAGTGTCAAAAAGGGTGTAAAACGTATTTTATTCAGTGGTTCTTAACTTGGGTTCGATCGAACCCTAAGTGTTCGCTGAATCAGTCCCAAAAATTGTCGGAGGTCAAGACACACACCCAACTTACATGACTTGCGATCAGATTTTGTCCGTGCAGGCGATAGCTGGCAGCGGTCGATGACAGTTCAAATAAGATGTCACGACACACGTACGTCACGAATCGATTCAACACCACCTATACAGGCGCGAGTTGATCGTGTAGGCAATACACGTGTTGGACGAAAATATTCTGTATATCTATATCGTGGCCCAGTAGTCGACTTATGGTTTTCATGATGGTGCGTCCTGTGATTTCTTTCTTAATAGTTTAATCACTTCATACTAACTGACCGGACGAACCTGTACACTATGGATTCACGTGTATAACAGAACTTGATGCATGATCTGCAAGGCCATATTCAACAATTCTAGTCTATAACCGTCAATAGTAAGAGAACACTTCCTTAAGACACATGGATATGGAAAATACAAGAACACAACACTCGCTGAATTCAAAGTGAAGCCACACTAGTCTGAACTGGTGCCTGAATGGCGACAGCAGAAGTCGTAATGGTTTGCTGTAAATATTAATTATCATGTTTTTGAGTGAAAATCATATTTTAATGTTTTTGTTCTCTAAACACGTTGATGTTGTACGTTTTGTTTCAAAGGCGTAGCGACCCTTCCCGGCGCCCGGGGACAAACCTTCGATTTGCACCCCCTTCGAACTTTTGGTTTGCACCCCCCTCAAACTTTCGATTTGCACCCCCCCTCGAACTTTTCATTTGCACCCCCCTCAAACTTTCAATTTGGCGCCCCCCTAAGGTCGGCGCCCGGGGACATGTGTCGTCCCCCCCCCCGCCCCCCCCCCCCCCCTCGCTACGCCTCTGTTTTGTTTTCATATTTTTTTTTTGAGCGGGGGCTTATAAACTTTATCCATATTATATATAGATATATATAGATCTAGTTCTAAATATTCATCAGTGTTTCTTCCAGACTTTTTTCTCCGGGGGGGCACTTGAAATCTTCGGGGGGGGGGGGGGGGGGCGGTAAACTTTCTTCGGGGGGGCGGACACTATTAAAAGTATATATTTTCTATATAAATTATATAAATTTCATATCGTTCGGGGGGGGGGGGGGCGGTAAAAAATTTTCGGGGGGGGGGGGGGGCTTCGCCCCCCCCCCCCCCCACCGTAGAGATGCCTGGAAGAAACTCTGATATTCATACACGTGTAGATATATTAAGCCTATATATTAAGGTCTTTAAATTAGCACTTTACGACTAAAAATTTTTGCTTTAAAACCCGACCCGATCATTAGTTGGCCTTGTGTTGAAGTAAAAAAAAACTTTATAAGAAAAAAGCTTTTAAGAAAATCAAACAAACGTGCTTTCTTTTCTAAAAGCATGAAATGTGTCAGACACGAGACATCATGAGTAAGCGTAGCTTTTACTAAGAAAGCATTGGTTGTGTTTCCTTTTCCTTTTTTCCCAGTGTATTTAAAAAAAAAAGTGTTTCTATGAAATCAAACCTCGTATAATGAAACAAGTTTTAATGTGTGTTGTTTACGATTCTAGAGAATTCCGCAGCTGATTTAGGCAGACAATGCATTAACACATTATACAAAACATATTTTACCAAACATTTTACAATATAAAAAAATTAGGCAAATCTTATTCTTGCACAATTATAAATTTGGCTCATTTTTTTACATTTTTATCTGACCAGTTTCTCTAACATGCCCTTGGTTTAAATTTAACAAGTGCTTGATTATTATCAGAAGTCTGTAGATCTAGAGATCTAGATCTAGATTTTCTAGATCTAATATCTAGATAATGGTTCTAGTCTAGATGTAGATTAGTCTACTTGCACAGAACAATATTCTAATTTCTGAGTATAATTTTGGCCCATTTTAAGTTGTCAGTGTCCCTTTAGCGGCATTAGCCGGTTAAGAAAGAAAAATGAGCAGTACAAAATCATTAGGCTTAAGACGCCTGTTTAGTTGTTCTCGTAGAAATTACGCATCCCAAAGTCAGTCAGCAAATTATAACTACTGCCTTGAGCTGGTAAAGTAAGTTAATTATTATAATTAATTATAGATCTAGTGCTTCTACTTTCTAGGCCTAGAAATGTTCTAGATCTACTACTTACTACTAGATCTACTCTTACTACTAGATCTACTAGTTACTAGTCACTAGCTAGTCACACTAGTGCTAGTCTAGAGTCTAGATCTACTAAGGCAAGGGTAAAATCACGATATAGCGTCGGAAATTATTGGGTAATGTTCGTTGAGTTTCGGTAACATTCGTTACTGTAAACTGTAAACCATAGTTTATTTGACCGCTGAAAGAAAAATAAAGTCAAGTGCATTAAATTAATGTTTTAACTTAATTTAATGTTTAACTGACAAAAAATTAGCAACAATTAGTAAATCTAAATATTAAATATTATTAATAAAGTCGAGTGTAGTAATTAATGATTTTTTTTAAGAAACAGAAAAAACCTGCAGAAGATTTGCGACAACCAGCTCTAGACTCTAGTTCTGTTAGTAAATAAGACGATTAGATTTTCTAAAGTTAAAAGTAGTAAGAATAACTAGAATAATGTTTAGTAGCAGTAATAATTAGCACATACACTTAAAATAATTAGAAATACAAAATAATTAGCAAAACAGTATTTAAATTGCAACTAAAATCAATCCTTGCACATTTTTCAACATTATCATTATGTATTAAAAATAATAGGGCGGCAAAAAAATGATGGTTTACAGTATTTCCGGTGGTTTCCGGAACGGCTCGACAGACTACGCCATGGTTTTACTGTTTTTTACTGCTGTACAGTTCCGGAATAATAACCGACGCTATATCGTGATTTTACCCTACTAAGAGTCTAAGACAACTAAGAAGTTACATCCTAGATCTAGAATAGACTCTATTCTACATCTTGATCTAGAAATCTAGCTTTAAAAGTACTTTAAAACTTAAGTTACTTTTTATTTTTACAAGATTTTAGCCTAGTTGACTTAATCTAATAGTTAGAGATTGTTTAGAGTCTAGACTAGAGCAAGGGTCTGCAACCTGCGGCTCTCGGCAGCACTCAGCATGTGACTCTTTTGATGTCAGGTTGCAGCTATCCAGTATCATGCACAAATTTAATAGTAATAAGTAGGGCTTAGTAGGGCCCTACTACTTATTAATTATTATAATTAGGCCTAAGTAAGTAAGTAGGCCTAATAATTATATAATATATATTATTTCATTTTTTCAAAACTCGTACAATATAATTCAATATATCATACTGTCAAGAAAAACTTTTTTAAACAGGATAAAAACACTCAGTAATTAAGAATAGGTGGAGTAGAAAGTATAAGGACAGATGACAGCTGCTTGGGCACCAGGCCCAGCCTCACAGCCGTGCTATGGACAGCCCATTGGCAACAATTCAATATTTGCCACTGCTCAAATGCATACTTTTTCAAATGGATGTTAATTTATTCAGAATGCATTTCTCTATCTGTTAGTATGCATTATTTTGCCAAGTGACTACGTATCTTGCAGAGCGTTGCCCGTAACGAAGTGACTACGCGCCTCACAGATTGGATTTTGATTTGCCATCTTGTGATTGAAAATGCTTACTTTTACCTACTCCAACACATCCGGTGTGGTTGAGTCAACAGTGTGCCAGCTGTAGACTGTAGTTCATACACCCAGAGCTCTGATTTCGAACCCGGGGTCAGCATGACCAGTACTAGCGTCTTTATTACATTTTATTTTTTCATATTGAAAATATGACGTGTGATTCTGTCTTCACTTCTCTCCCCTCCTCCCTCAAGCAAATTGAAATTTTTTTTGAAGTTCACATAGGATAAATAATATAGACTTAGATCTACTATCACGCATGCTAGATAGCTGTTAAAACAATTTACTAAAGGACAGTTTGATATAGCTAGATTGCTGCTAGATCTAGGACTATCATCTGACCCACTACTGACACTATACTCTGTACTGTACTGTTTTTTTTAAAAGTACTAGATCTTAGATTGCGTGACACCTAAGGTAAAGATTAAGCATAACGCGGAGCGAACTGCGCAAATAAAGGCGGCCTTGTTTTTTTACATGTACTAGATCTAGATTCTTAGGTGTTGAAATAATACACTTAAACTAGATCTAGATCTATCAGTATGTCAACATTAAATTGCTAACACGAAAAAAATCGAGCAGTCTTATATCTATTTTTTTTTAGATCGCATGCCACCTAGTGATCTATGGTAAAGATTTAGCGAACCGCGCAAATGCTGCCTTAAGAGTAACGCTGAGCGAACCACGCAAATGCGGCCATGATTTTGACCTGATTGACGTAGATTTTATTTTAGTTATTAGCTTCCTACGGTTGAACCGGGTACTGGACGGTGGGGTACGAGTTTACCCTGGGCTCTGTGGGATGGAAGATAAGCCATGTGAGAATCGAATGACAGAAATGACAGATGCGGTAATCAAACCGATATCCAAGCCAGTTAGTTGGAGTTTGCCATGTTGAGCCCTTTTTGGCTAATGGGATGAGCTGGTGATGTTCATAAAGAAAGAAAATTATCTTCTAAAGTGGACTGGGATTGTCCTATAGTTAGCCCTATATTATTTGATTACTAATTTTATCATAGCAGAGTTAGCTAAAATATTTGAATATGTTTTGTGACAAACATTTGTATGTTTTTTTATGAGAATACATATTCATTTTTTAAAGCTATTTATTTCAAATCATAAAATCCAAATTTATAGGCTATACCTTCTAAAAAAAGCAATTAGTCTTTGCTAACTTAAAGGTCTAGAATAAGTTCTGTTGTTTTGGCATGGGATATTAAAAACCAGTTGTACTTTGGTAAACCATGGTTTAAGGCCAAATGACAAATGAATCATCACATTAGCTGGGGCTATTTAATCAATTTTAAACAGATAGAAAAAGGAGACTGCAGATGAACTCTAAAACTTCAATATTCCTCTCTTTACAGAAAAAATGATTATGAGAATTACCTGGCTTGTTTGTTACTTCCTAAAGTTGTCCATAGAGCAGTATTTGCTTTGAGAGCTTTTAATGTGGAGCTGGCTCAGGTAAATATTGTGATCAATACACTTTAGTAACATTAGGCTTACTAAACTATTTTGGTTTTTCTTTAGGCCTTGATAATTAAGTTACCGATGATCCAGGGGTGTGGGAACTACTAGACACAGCAATGTGGTGGACCCAGGACTTTTAAGGGGCCCAAAATCTGACAAACAGATCTACTACAGCAGTGATTTTTCAACAGTAGTTAACACACACTGTTGTGTAGAAGAAAAAAATTACAAACTATATGAGCTGTAGTATGAAAGATGAGCGTTCAAACCACTACCATGACTTATTGCTCTTCTTTAAATAGTCTAATAATGGTCCCCATAAAGCTCATTAAAATAGTTTTGTACAAACCAAAAGGAAAAGAACTTGCTTCTCTTATTATCTTAATAATAAGACATACCAAAGAAATTAGAATGATGTAGCTATAAAAATGAATATATTCAAATTAATAGGCACAGCCTAATATAACTACAAAAAATAGATAAAAACATGAGAATAAAATTAACATGGGAAACATATCAAGCTTCTGTGTTTCATATACTTTTGACAGATATGGAGTTACACTACAATTTGTGGTGGGCATAAAAATAGTTCTTCCACTGGGATGATCAGTTAGGTTTTAAACTATAAATAGATTCATCTTATTTCATCAATGCAATTTGTTTTCTTTCAGTGTCTAAAAATGTTTTTTTAGAGAATATCTTACTGTAATATTATTTTAATTTATTTGGGGTATTGTTAAGGACATGGTTGTTGAGATTAACACATAATAGGTCTATGACTTAATTAGTTTCAGATACATTTTAATGCTGCATTTTCTTTCCAGTAAACTGCATTTATAATGATAATGCAAAAATATCTCACTTTAAACCCAAGGTTAAATTTCAGATTGAGTCTTTAAAAAGGACAGAATTCAATAACAAAAGGGAAATAGCCTAGGTATAGGTAGTAGCAGTCATAATAAAATAACTTCTTAGTCAACTCTTCTTTAATCTTAAGCGGAGAAATATGCTCCTGATTTTCTAGAAATAACTCCTTCTGAGCACTATTTAAAGCAAACATCCCTTCATTCAAATTAGTCATCTGTCTGGCTTGACATCTGATTTATTTTAATAACTTGTTGCCCAAAAGTAGTTTACTGTTCTTTAAATTTGATAGTTTATTGGATTGACTAGTTATAATCTAGTGTGGGACGGCATGGCATAAGTGGTAGAGCGCTAAGCTGTTAACCTGTAGGTCTCAAGTTCAAATTCAGGTCAAAGTCAGTAGAGCTTCCATGAGTCCACCCAGCTCTAATGGGTACCTAACTCAGTAAGGGCGACTGGGCAAAGTGCTGACCACATTCCCTTCATATGCTGAGGTCAAGAAACATATAAACTCTACTTCATCTTCCTAATGGATCACTAGGTTTAAAGAGAATTCTTTACATTTTTTATATATAATCTAGTGATTGTATTTTTCTTTCAGGTTCGTGATAATGTTTCAGAGAGGCAAATCGGACTAATGAAAATGAGGTTTTGGAAAGATACAATTGATAATATATTTCAGGTTACTTTTTTTCTACCTTGTCAGTTAAATGTTAGTTTGGTATATTTTGAAAAGTAATAGTATAAGTTGATAATGTAACCTTTTGGTATGTACAATAATTTGATTTTTTTTTTTTTTTTTTTTTTTTTTTTTTAGTCATCTCAGTCAACTGTACCTCATACACCAGTAGCTTTTGAATTGGCAGGGGTGAGTTAATATTGCTTCAACTTGATTTGTATTGGCTCATAATTCAAACTCAGATTAACTTGAAATATATTTTAACTTTTACTCTCTTCCTTGTAGGCCTGTGGTTATTTCAAGCTCTCTAAACAGTGGCTGCAAAAAATAATTGATGCTAGAGTAAGACTGGTGTTTATAGTGTTTTTATGTTAAGAATGTCAAGTGTTTGTCTGGAATTCTGAATTTAAAATAAAACATTCATTAGTTTGTAGATTCCCAATTTTAGACTAAAAGATTTTCAGTTAAAAAAAAATTCTTGACTTTAAAAATAAGTTTTCTAGAATGGCTTTGTATTAGTCTCCATAAACAAATGACAATACTCTCTTGTATTGCAAATATAAATTTTGGCATGGGTGTTTTTGTAATTTTGCAATGTAATTTTTTTTAGAGGTTTTCTTTTTATTTTATTACACCTAGCTATTTTAAGACTAACTCATTAAGGTCATTAAGTTTCAGAGATTTTGAAATTTCACATTTGGGTTTTAGGTTAGGTAAACTTTTGGAAAATAAATTTCAGGATTTGCGTAAAGATTTGAGTGGTACCACACCACTGTATCTCTTAACAATTGAGTAAATCATAGTAAATGTTTTCTTTTATTTAGTTTTTTTTCTGTTCTGCATTTTAAATTACTGGCTTATTTAAATTTTCTTGTTTTAACTTGTTTTAAATTTTTCAGACCCAACAGCTGGAGCGTGATAATTTTACTACAGTTAAAAGTGTAGAAGATTATGCTGATCAAGTTAATGCTTCATTATATTTTTTAATGTTAGAATGTTTAAGTAAGTATGTTTCAGCAGCTAAATATGATAATTTTACAACTCATAGACCTTAAAACCCTCTGTTTTGTTATGAAAATCAGCTTTTCCATTTGTCAATTCGAGGATTACGCAAATCAGCTTTATTCTTCACTCTAATTTTAAATTTTAGAATACATGCTTGAATAAGTGATTATATTTAATCTTGTATTCTTGTTTTAGGAATTAAAAACATTCATGCTGACCATGCTGCTAGTCATTTGGGGAAGGCCCAAGGTCTTGTTACTGTTTTACGTGCAACACCATACCATGCTTCCAGACGACAAGTATTTTTACCAATGGAAACATTAGCCAAGGTATTCACGTAGAAAAGACAAAGTTTTATTTTTTAAAATTTATTTAAGGAAGTGCTTAAGATTTCACACATAATTTAATATTTTCACGTCCTTATGATGGAGTCAAGCTAATTCTGTAATAATGTTTTGTCTTGCTTAAAAATCAAGTATTGAAAATAAAATAAAAAATATAATTTGTAAGGACAATATTTATTTAGAACTTTGAAAACAAAACTAGTTTTGAACTTGCATTAACTAGGGGAATGTGCTAAGGCTATTAAAGATTGTTATTCATTTAAAGACTAATGGGTCATAGACGATGGTTATCTCTTGATTTAACCTACTCTTTTCATAAAGCTTAGTTTAAGTTTACAAGCAATTTTGAAATAAATGTGGATCAAACTTTTTGGTGGGATAGATGTCTTGGACACAAAATACTAGCCTAAAGGACATAGATTTTGCGGTCAACATAACTTTACTAGCTAGCAGTCATGCAAGAATAAAGACTTATTTCTTTAGCAAATGGAGTAATATCTTAGTATCCTTAGCGCCCTACTGTATGGCAGTGGATGCCTTTGAAGCATAAAAGGCATCCACTGGTCCAACACCATCTCCAATAATAGATTATTAGGAGAAACTGACATGGAAGCTATTTTCAAAATATTCTAAAAGAGTATGGGGAAAAATATTTTGACGTTATTGCATTGAATTCTCAGGTTTGATACCTAAAGAGGAATAGTTTTATTTAATTCCAGAAATTATTTTTATAAGCAAAAAAAAAAAAATTCTACTAAAAGATAGCGTTTTGGTGAATGATTGCCAAATTAATGTACTGCATAGTGAAATTATTACACTATTTAAAGGAACACTTTTGATATACTTTGTTTTATAGCATAGAGTGTCTCAAGAAGACATTGTACGTGGAAAGATTTCTCAACAAGTCAAAGATGCAGTGTTTGATGTGGCCAGCATTGCTAATCATCATCTTACAAAAGCCCGATCACTGAAAGATTCATTACCACCTCAGTCACAACTAGTCTTCTTAAATGCTGTGAGTAGTTGCATTAAAACTCATGCCATGATCCACTGCCTTTTCATTTGGTTAAAAAAACTTTTTAATTTCTTTTTTTTTTTCTGTTCCTTGCAGAGTGTTTGCGACCATTACCTGAAAACTCTCCAGAAAGTTGATTTCAACATTTTTGATGGGAAACTGCAGCAAAGAAATCCATTGCTGGCCATGGAGATGTACTTACACAGGCTCAGAAAAAAGTTTTGATCAAAGAACAATAGGTAGCTTTTAGTTTTATGTTTGTATTTTAAGTTGCAGTTATTTAATATTGTATTAATAATAATTATTTTTTTGTAAAATTACAAGCAAAATTTCTTTTTTTCTTTCTTTTGGGGGAAAAATAGATTGTGTAGAAAATCAAATTATTTATTCAAATACTAACCTAATCAATTTTTGTTAATGGTGTGAAAATAATTATTCTAACAATGTCTAAAATATTGAGAAGTAGAGATTAACTATTTTACCCCTATTTTGACTGTTTTGAATCAAAACGATTGTGTGTTGACTCATGATTTTCCTTTTGTAATTGTACCAATGTCAGTAGCTTTTACCCCTGCAATTCTTACTGATGATGTGTCAACGGTTGTAACACTTAAGCTATGTGCTGGCTTCTGAAATTTAGATCTGCCTAACACATTTTCAGGAACTGTTATTTAATGTGTGGACAATTATAGACTGTCCTGGCAAGGTACACAAAGTTTTATTTCCATTGTTCAGTGGTTTGTAATCGAGTAGGGAACAATCTGATAAAACAATATTCGTAAATAAGAAACATACTCTCTATACGAAATCATTTAACATAACAAATCTATATTTGCAACTAACTTTCCATCTTTATCTTAATGCTGGAGGATCATTAGGGTGCCACTGTTGACTCTGTTACTATCATTTCCAGTCTTCCGCTGGTTTCAGTTTTTCTGCGCAAGATGACCCAGTTTATTCCATTTGCTTTAAGATTTTTCACCCTCACTCTCTTTAACCTTTTACATTTACATATGCCTTGACTCTTGATTTGGACTTTTACATCTGGATAAAGCCACATAAAGTTGCCTGTCACTTTGTGTATTTGTTGTTCAAACACACCTGTGATTGCAGGTTTGTGAACACAAGAAACTGGACTCCAGTTTGCATAACTAGATAACTTTACTTACACAGTAGAAAAAATATGAATCTATAATTGAATGAGTGTACAGCCTACACTTAATATAATATAGCAGAGAAATACATATGAGCACACCGACTATCTTCCACAAAATTCTCAGGCATAGTCCTGTCCTGCATTAGTCAATGGTGGCTGTGTTGCATCGCATTTACCCCAGGGTTATATAGCCCTACATTCTCTCCCTTTAGTCTGTTAGCGATTCCATACAAGCATGGAGAATACAGTGATTGATCTCTCATACATTCACTTCTGATGGCAAGGTATTCAAATTCAACTATCTCACACATTTTACTCCAAAAACTATTTACAATAATAATTGTCTGTTGCATTGCCCATGAGAGAACACAGGCTCATCAAGATGTATTCCTACATGTTCAAACATTTGACCTTAGGACTTTTAAATTGTCTTGGCAAAAGCCAGAATAACTTTAGGTGTCTTATATATTTTTCTTTGTTGTTGGTGCCTTGTATGTTTAGTGTGAGTAATGTTATTGTTTCCATGGATTGAATTGGGACTTGGGAGTCTCACCTGTTTTTGTCTGTTTATGATTATCATGGCTGTTGCTTTCCACAATACTTCTTTTTGTCGAGGGTTTTTCTTGCAAGGTGAAATCCTTGTAACCATGATCACTTTGGTTTCGTTCTCCTGTATTTGTAAACTGTACCTTCTTAGTCGTCTCTGGCCGTGTTGGTTGTTTCTTTTTTTTTTTTTTTTTTTTTTTGTTTGTCACTTGCTCTCATGTTTCATCTACTACTTGTCTGCCTTCCGTTGGTGTTTTATCCTCTTCTTCCTCTTGTCTGCTCTCCGTAGTGTCTTCATCACTTGTGTAGCTGTCTTCTGACAAGGATTCCTCTATTTCCACATATCTTCCCCTTTTGTCCATTTCGATGTTTCATGGTGCCACACAGTGGACATATAGTTTTCCGCTCGTTTAGCAGCGTGTGGCTTTCACCTCCCATTTCAACTTTTAGGAAGTGAGGGAGGTTTTCAGCTTTTGCAATGGGTAGGAAGTCTCATCCATCTTTCCCCTTTCCATATTCTGGTTGCAGTTATGGGCTCATCGGGTGAACTAACAGTTTTTAAAATGTCGGTAACTATTTTTTGTGAGTAGGTGGGTGGTACTCACTTCAGTTGACCTCTTTAACCATTTTTTCCCACATGCAGGAGGAGAATACTGCTACATAAGCTTGTGTTTTGCACTATTTCCTGCATGTGCAGTGATTTAAACAATAAATCTGACTTTAAGTTACATACCGTTCGGTTGGCTGGCACAGGTTGTACACATACTAACCTGGTCTGCCTTTTATGAGGCAGCGGAGTGTATTTTGGGGGAGTTTCCCCAGGGGTGCCGCTGTGTTGATCTTTACCTTTTGAAACCGTGTTCCAGTCATCACGTTGTCTGAGTTGTAGACTGGTGCTTTCCTATCTGTGATTGTGGTGCTTTGTCTTGCTAGATACAGGAGTCTATCTACTTCATTGAATTCTTCCTGGGCCATTTTAACTCCGGGTTGTGTTTGCTGCTGAAAGTTGTTGCTCCATACTGGTGATTGTTTTAAATTTAATCTTATAGGCCCCGAAGGGAAAGTTATAGTCCAGTGAACACAATGAACAAAATTTTTTTTTTTTTGGCTGTTACGATTGTTGAAAGAGTTCAAATAGTACATGCCATCTTAACTGACTGTTAAAAGAAAATTTTTTTTTAATACTTGTATTTTCGTACTTTGTAATTACATCAGCATATACAAATGTGTGTGTGCGTTAGTCTGTAACATAATTCAAACATTTACAAAAATTATCCTTACATAAAGAAAATGTCGATCAACAATTCAAATGAAGGTAGATCTAATTTAGAAATAAAGAAATACAAAAATGGTGATAAAAGTTGTTAAACTTTGTTTGATGTTCTTTTTGTCTACATGAGTGACGCTTACTCGTATTAACCTCTGGGTCCTTTCATTTGCTAGTGTCTTTGGCTCATAGAATTCAGTGAGCATGAGACTTTCGTAAATTTTTCTTGAACCTAATGTGGCATACCAAACATTCACTTCTCCATAGTTGTAGACCCTTTTGAACTCAGTCTCCTGCAGCCAATAATTTTGGAAAACAGAGTTAGAAATTCCTCCTCTGTTCATAGCTTTCAGGCTATCATTGTAGCAGTGCATTGATTTGTTTAGTGAAAAATGGGTTGCCATGATTTTTCTGTACTAATCTTTAAATGTCTTCAACATTTGGTTTGTCTAGATCTTTATCAATTAATAAGATCTAAACTAGAACATAAACAACTGATACTGCTTTAAGGTCTTTATCTATATGAAGGGCTCAGTGAAAAAAGTACATTAGTGTATTTTGAGAAAAATGAGGTCTAAGTTTTTAAACAAACACACTTTTCTGACAAGATTCTGTTTATGATTGTCAAAAATTATTTTCATTTAAATTTTAAACAAAAAAAGTATAAACACAAAATTAATTTAAAACTATTGGTATATACTGAGTCAACAAAAATAGTAAAACAAATGTGATGTAATAATTTTTTACAATTTTGATGGTAACAGTATTTACCTTGATAATTATCTACACTCATTTAAATTGAATGTTCTATTCAAAATCATCAGCTTGCTCATCCTCTTCTGTAGACATTTCTAAAGGTTTGAGGGAAGTGTAGAAAGTTACACTCTCTGGAAGATGGACATGCGACAAAAGTGACTTCTATCATTAAATTTTGCTTTCTTTATTGGAAGAAAGCCGTTGAATACCAAAGGGCAATCTTGAATTGCTGACTTTAAGGTGTTCAGGGATTTTCCCCTTTTTAATAAACTTAAAGTGGAAGTAAAACGGCCAGTTATTGAGCTTCTACCAACAGGGTTCTTCAGCCTTTCAAATAAAATCCCTCTGAGACTGACAATACCCTCTGGCGCTTTAATGACTTTATCCAGGCTAGATTTAAAATCTTTAACCCTGACAACAGGTCTACTGTCCATTTCTAAATTGTCAGTAAATGGATGTTTGACATAAGCAATTTGCCACGAAGCATCAATGTTTGAATTGACAATTAGGTTTAACAGGTCAGAAGGCTTATAAAACTTATCTGATTTCAATTTTTCCAATCCTGCCAAAGTCTCTGTCACATGGCATTCTGCTGTGTACAGGATTAGGGTACTTAATAACTACTTCAGTCAATTTAGTGTTGCATAGATTTTGCAAAAAAAAAAAAAAGCAATAATGTATCTGTTTTTGTTTTGTGAAAAACAGTTATCCGTAAAAATCACCAGTTTTCTTATGGACTCTGGCAATCCATCTATATAATGTTCCAGACATGACAGAACTTCATTAAGTCCTTTATTTGCAAAATGTTCTGCAGAAATATACATGGAAGCATTTCTAGATCAACCATCATGAATGCCAAGGTTATGCACAGCCAGCTGTCTTTTGTAGTATTCCTGACCAATCCCAGTAACAGGTAGAAGCAGGTTCTTTTGAAAATCCATAGCTTTGACTTAAGTATCATCAGCAGCAAGAGCAAGATGCTTATCCTCTGTTATCTGCTTGTAGCAGCATCTCCTTTTCTTTTGTGAACTTCATGTTCAGTTCTTAGTTTGAAAACCAATCATTATTTCTGTTGACAGTGGCAGATTTAATATCAGCATTAAATTTTTCACATGTGTCACACACATCTGTGTGCGGAAACCCAAAACTAATATTGAATTCATAGTTGAAAATATCTCTATAGATCCATTCTTTGGCGATAGTATTCATGTCTGGGTGTTTTTCCAAAAAATAACCTAAACATCTCAGAAATGTTAAGTTCAGAGGTTAGATAGATCCTTTTTCTATTGTCTGCTCGAGAATAGTGGCTTTCTCTTGCAGGAAATGAAATATGTTGACTTGACGGATTGCTAGGCGAATCTCATCATTAAGTTTTTTGTGATGGCCATGCTTTCCTCTTAAGTCTTGTAGGGGTTCTTCAAAGTTAAGGACTTTTTCTTCAGACGTGATTCCTTAATACCATGCAGAGCACAAAAAGCATTTTTGCTCACAGTTTTGCCA